AGCTTTCGGGTTTCATTGATTTTCTCTACTGATTTCCTGTTTTCAGTTTCATTGATTTCTGCTCTCATTCTTGTTATTTCTCTTCTTATGCCTATTTTAGGCTTAATTTACTTAAAGTTTCCTAAGCTGGAAGCTTCGCAGACCGATTTTAGATCTTCTTTTCTAATAGACACATTCAATTGCTCTGTTTCCCTCAAAACACTGCTTTAGCTACATCCCACAAATCTTAAGTTGTGTTTTTACCTTCATTTAGTTCAAAATATTTTTTAGTTTCACTTGAGATTTCTTCTTTAGCCTGGGTATCATTTACAAGTATATTGTTTAATCTCTAAGTATTTGGGGATTTTCCCAGCTTTCTGAAATTGACTTCTAGTTTAATGGTGTTGTGTTCTGAGAGCAGGCCATTGTATGATGATTTCTACTGTTTTAAATTTGTTAAGGTGTGTTTTATGGCCCAGAATGTGACTTATCTGTTATCTTGAATGTTCCAGATGAGCTTGAGAAAAATGTGGTCAGCTGTTGAAGTAGTCTGCAGATGTCCATTGTACCCAAGTGACTGACGGATTTGTGGTTTGGTGTTTGACATTAATGTGGGAGACATATTCAGTTTATTATTGTCTCAAATATTTCTATTGTTCCTTTCTCACCTTTTCTGCTATTTCCATCATACTTATGTTTTACCTTTTATCACTGTCCCACAGACCTTGCATATTCTGTTTTTCAGTCTTTGTTCTCTTTGCTTTTCACTTTGTGAGGTTTCTACTGATATATCCTCAAGCTCATAGATTCTTTCCTCTGCCATGCACAGTCCACTGATAGATAAACCCGTAAGACATTCATTTCTGTTAATCAAGTGTTTTTATTCCTAGCGATTATTTTTGGTTCTTTTGTAGGATTTCCATCTCTATGCATACATTTCCCATCTGTTTTTGCATGCTGTCTACTTTATCCATTAGAGCCCCTACGTATTAATCATAGTTGTTTTAAATTCCCACGTCTGTTAATTCCAATATCCCTGCCAGGTCTGCTTCTGGTGCTTGCTCTTTTTCTCTAGTGAGTTTTTCGCTTTTCAGTATGCTTCATACTTGTCATTTCATGGCCAAACATGATGGGTAAAAGGAACTGCTGTAAATGGGCCTTTAGTAATGTGCCAATGAGGTGTGGAGGAAGGGAAGTGATTCATGGTATGGCCAGGTTTGTCTTTTAGTGTACCTATGCCCCTGGACTGTAAACCTCACACTGCTTCTCAGCTCCGCAACTCGGACGCCCTCTGCCACACACTCATACCCCTAGGTGGGACAGGATGGCTAGACTGGGCTTGAGTTGGGTATTTCCCTTCCTCCAAGTCAGTTAGGCTCTGGTTAAGCAGTTTCTCCTGAGGGCAGGCCTTATGAAGAACAGAGTGCTCGGCTATACTGCAAAATCATCCCTCCCCTCCTCTCCCCACCCCTCCACCACCACCTGCTAGAAGCATGAGAGGATTTTTCTCGGAAACTGAGAAGCAGGTTGAGCTCCTGGAGATAAAACTCACAAAAGTATGGGGGTCCTTGGTGACTGGGTCCCCCTGGAGTTTTTAACTCTCAGAGCCATCTACACCAAACCACCAGCAATTTGCCAGTTATAGTCCAGGTTTCTCTTCCCTGGTTTCCCAGTAAGTTGTGGCTCTCTGTATTTGTTTGTTGGTCTCTCCGATGGGAGGAGCAACAGTTTGCTCTGGGACCTCCTGTCTCCTAGGGATCTCTGAGAAGAGTCGTAGCTTTTTCCGTGTGCTCAGTTCTGGTATCTCCTCCTCATTTGGTCCGGTGATCACCAGGTCTCAACTCCAGGGGACTATCCCAGCAGCGAATTAGGAACAACCCGGACCTCCTTACCAGGACATTAAACTCCTTTTTAGCCACGGCCCTGGTCCAGTACCCTCAAGAGCCACCCCTGCTGCTATTTCGCTGGTATATGCTAAACCAGGTCTTGAAATTATTTCAGTGAGTAATCTATTTCTTCCCACAGCAGAGACTATAATCCCCTATTCAGGCTGGGCTGTCATAGGACCCTAATCATTGGTCTGGAAACGAGGGGAGGTGGGACAGAGGTTAACAAATACCATCTCCTGAGACATCTGCCTCACGTATAGTCTGCATGGAAAAAGACTCAGGAAACAGCTGCACTCTCGCAGCTAGGGGATGGTGGCTGGCTGCTCAAAGCATCCAGGACATTACTAGGGATGAAGATCCTGTCTTTAACCCAGGTCCAACTCCTTTCCTGTCCTGACAAAAGCCCTGACTTTGGCAAGGAAAGCCAGCCCAGAAGGCAGCTTATCTCCTTCATGGCTTTGAAGCTCTTGCACAAAATGTGAATGTCAGCACATTCTACCCAGCAGCTGCAGGCTCGTCTCTTTAAACTGCACCGTGAAGGCCCTCTGGTTTTCAGAACACACCACAAGTTGATAGCCGATGAGCCTTTCATTTTTTTTTTTAAATGCCTTTCCATAGTTAATAGAAGCCAGTTCAACTAAACAACTCTTATAATTACCTCTGACTCCATGCTTCCATGGGGTAGAGCATTCTTTCACAACCCAACACTTTCTCCCCTGGACCTCATCCCAACCCACCAGAGGCCAGACTTGGTAACGCCGACAACTACAGGATGGCCTACCTTATCGCCGACGCACCTGCCACCACCCACAGGGCCTTTGCTGCCATCTGCCAAGACTGCTCTAGTTTTCAAGACACATATGGAGGGTCTGCTTTTCAACGCCACTTCTAGTACCAAAGGCTTAGTCGGAGTCACTCCCCAAGGCAACGCCTGAGACAAGGGCTTGTGTTTGGCAGTTTATCTGGGAGGTGGTCCCAACAGGGAACAGGAGGGAAGGACTGAGGAGGGTAAACCAGGAAGGAAAGGGTTTACCACAGTCATGAGCACCACCAGCGTGGCTCGGCGGCGTGGCTTGTTGAATGTTTCAAAAGAGCTCTCAGAACTGTCCACCCAAGGATCAACCGGAGCATTTCTCCACCGGTTGCTGCCCCCTAGTGGCTGTGGGTTGCCTTGGGAGGCGGTTAAGTCCCCAGCACTTTGGGGCTGCGCATACTTCAAGGCTGAGTGGGCTAATATTCTAAACTGATGTATTTTGCAGGCTTCAATTGACATGATTTGGGAGATCGAGAAGTCACAAAAACAATAGAACCAATCTGAATATTCTGTAACCTTGCATTCCTTGATGTTTATTTAATGGCCACTAACAACAGCCCTGCTTGCTTCTGCTGGATGAAGCACTGGGTCTCTCCAGGACTGTATTTTTCCAAGTCTCTTTCCTTATTCTGAGAGCTGCAATTATCACACATTTCCAATAAATGCCTCTCCTGGACAGACCTTGCTCACTGGGGGTTCCATATCACATGTGATGTGTGCCTCTCACACACAGGGGTGGCCTAGGAAAGGTTGTGGCAGAGACAGATGCTAACTTATTTCTTGTCCCATTTTCACTATAACTGCTTAGCCTGGCAAAGACTCATCTATCTGATATCTTTAATCATCAGGACTGAAGCTTCTGAACTTGACTGAAAACTAGCTGCATCTTGACCACTGTCACTGTTCCATCACAGGCAGTCAGCCAGGAACAGGGGAGGAGTAACAGACTAATTGCTGCCTTGTCAGAGCACTGTCACAGCGCCTGGAGGGAAAAATCACTGGAAAAACATTTTTTTTTAAAATGAAAACCTAGGTTGTGTTCTCAAGAGGGCAGCAGCTCCAAGTCTGAGCCAAGGCAGCTGTTTCTCTCTACAAGGATGGACCTCACCATGCCAGTAGAAGGTGTCCATGCCAGGACCTCTGGAACCAGGCTTCAAGGGCTTTAGCTCACATTATGTTCCTTCCATTAGGCAATAAATTCCTAACTCCTCACCCCATTTGTCTCACTGAAACACAGAGAGCAAATGCTATGGCTGAAATACTCACCCTTCATGAATCAGCTCCTTCCCCAGGGCTTTTTAAGATTGATTGGGGAGTTTGGAAAAAACTAAAGATTGCTCAACCTGTAAACAGACTGAATTCCAACACACTGTGCTGTGAGTAGAATACAGGCTTATAAGTAGCCTTGTGGGGCCATTAAGAATGGCCTTCCCTTCCGTCCCCAGAGTATGAAGGCAGGCTGAGTAATCAAATGACAACATCTCTAAAGCAGCCTTCTTCGTGCTGATAAAACAAGGAAATCTTATGAAAACACCAGGGAGTGGTTATAAAATATTGAGCAATTTCAAAACAAGAGTGATAAGGACATTTAGCTAAGGACCAACATAGCCGCTAAAACCCTGGACCCTAGGGAGCTCATTGTGGATTTCTTGGAGGGCAGGAAGCAAGAACTGGCTTCCCCAGGACTCAGGTAGCTTCACCAGCCAGGTAGAAGCCATGGGTGTGTACCTGGGGCATGTGCCTCCTTTGTCCTCTCCCAGAAGCACCAAATCCACAAAGAGAATGAACCGTGTGCATGTGTACATGTGTGTGTGTGTGTATGTGTTTATTTTGAAAGCTCCACAGGAGAAACATTATATATCATAGGCATTTCCTTTAAACTTTCTGGTAGGTCTTTATTCTAGTATTTTTGTTGTTGTTTTGAATTCCTTTTTATTTTATTTTATTTTTTTATTATTTATTTACAATAGTCACAGAGAGAGAGAGAGAGAGAGAGAGAGAGAGAGAGGCAGAGACACAGGCAGAGGGAGAAGCAGGCTCCATGCACCGGGAGCCCGACGTGGGATTCGATCCCGGGTCTCCAGGATCGCACCCTGAGCCAAAGGCAGGCACCAAACCACTGCGCCACCCAGGGATCCCTGTTTTGAATTCCTATAGCAGGAGATAAATGAGTCTCACTGGAGAGGCATGGCCAGAGAAATCTCCTTGGGAGCAGATCTCTGGATTTGGTTATCATTCATTAGACCAGGGCCAGACTTTACAGGGGGTCACAAAATGGCACCTTGAATTATTGCTGAAGAACTCGAGCCGTACCAAACCAAACTAGAAAATATACTTTAATTTTACAGGTACAAATGGCAGCTCAAATTCATAATAGATAAGAAAAATATATACAAACTGCGGCTTAAGAGGAAAGCAAAATAACAAACACCCCACATTTGTGTTGATGTGCAAGTCACCCCAGGAATCCAACTTTCTGTCTCTTGGGCCCCAGGCTTTCCTCCTTGTGTAGGACGCTCTGCAGGGAGGCATGCAGCACCTTGCCCACTCGCTTGCCAGTCTGTAGGACAAAAGAAGGCATATACCCACTGGTGAGGCATACACACTGGCCAGGGAAGCTTCCCTCTATGCCTGCTAGCCATTCCCAACTGTACACATTCCATCTGCCTTACAGGGCTTTTATTTAATGGATCATATCAATACAAAAACAAACCCCCAACAACAACATAACAGATACATTCTGGAAAACTCTCATACTAAAAATAAAAACAAAGAAAAAAAAATGCCACCCCCAGGCAGCCAGCAGGAAGCAGCAAAGGCAGCCTCAGCCATTAGCTCACGCTTAGCACTCCTGCTGCCATTACAACAAGCAGCAAAACAGTCAACCAAATCTGGTCCTGGGAAAAAAAAACAAAAAAAACAAAAAAACAAAACACAAATCTGGTCCTGGTACTGCCAAGTCCCACTGTACTGTAGTAAGAAGGCAGAGGGAGGCCACGGGGAATCAAGAGTCTGTCTAATGAAGGAATAGACGGTCTGGGGACACGTCTGAACAAGCAGGTTCTCATTCACCTGCCACCAAATCTCTACACAGAGCAGCTCAGATGGGACTGAGCTGACACCGGGATCAGGTCTTAGGCGTTGCTGCCATGCAGAGATGCTAAAGGAACAGAATGTTGGAACTGAGACATGTCAAGAGGTCAGACGACCCACAGAGTTCCTAATTAGCCTGACACAGGAGCCACATGGAAACACTTGAAAACAAAACTAATATATAAAAAATCTTTCTTGGGCAGCCCCGGTGGCGCAGCGGTTTAGCGCTGCCTGCAGCCCAGGGCGTGATCCTGGAGACCTGGGATCGAGTCCCGCGTCGGGCTCCCTGCATGGAGCCTGCTTCTCCTCTGCCTGTGTCTCTGCCTCTCTCTCTGTGTCTCTCATGAATAAATAAAATAAAATCTTTAAAAAAAAAATCTTTCTTTATGAAACTGTTATTCTGAGCTCACAGACCATTTTAAGACTATGATGAACCAACAAGTCTCCATGTCATCGAGTCTTCTATGTTTCCATAGCAGTTTTTTTTTTTTTAATTTTTATTTATTTATGATAGTCACACACACAGAGAGAGAGGCAGAGACATAGGCAGAGGGAGAAGCAGGCTCCATGCACCGGGAGCCCGGCGTGGGATTCGATCCCAGGTCTCCAGGATCGTGCCCAGGGCCAAAGGCAGGCGCCAAACCACTGTACCACCCAGGGATCCCTCCATAGCAGTTTTAATTCAACTGTGCCATTGGTTCCATTCTCCGCAATGTCAGGCAAGGAAGACCTCCAGGCCTAGACCCCCGCCCCAATCTTTTAGTTACAGGGACCCTATCCCCAGACCCTAAGTGTAACACAGGATGAGACTCCAGATATTATTGGAAACTTATACGAAAATATCTCAGTCTAAAAGTGGGAAATGATCAATGGTATGAAATGCAAAGTCAGGCTGAAGGGCCAAAGTGACGGTGGAAAGATTTATTTTACTGTAACACAAGAGAAAGAAAAAATGTCAATCAGATAAGGGTACTGACTGTTCATATAAATGAAAGTGGGGAGTGAGGATAAGAGGGGATGAGACAGGACATCAGGACTTGGGAGGTCTGAATGTGATGGTAGAGTTTGGGAAAGTGGCCTGCATAGCCATCCCAATGTTTTAAGCATCGCAAGTCACTTCTGGATCGCTGCATCCCTATGAGGCCAGAGCAGTGACACAGGGCCATGGGGCTATGGTCCCCCTGAGCAGGGTCTGTAGACCTCATTCATGGAGCCACAGAGGAGGATGCAGCTCGGCTCACCAGATGGAGCTCTGACCACAGCAGCTACAGCAGACCTGGTGTATAAGGTGAAAATAGCTCAGTGTGGCTGCAGGGGGTGGGGGGACGGTTCTGGAAGCACACCGTCTGGGTTTGAATCCTAGCACCAGCATTTATGAGCTGGGAACCCCATAGGCAAGTTACTTCATCTGCTACACATCTCAATTTCCATGTCTATAAAATTAAGGATAACAATAGTAGTTGCCTCAAAGGATGGCTGAAGACTCAATGACATAATACATTTAAAGCACTAAAAACAGGGTACCAGACACACAGTAAGCACACAATAAATTTTCGCTATTACTTATCACTTTTGTTGTTTTACACACTGGAATTCTCATAAAATTCTCCAGGGGGTGGGGAAAGAGCTCCTTCTAAGACAAGCCAGTTCTCTAGAGAAGCCTTTGGCAGAACTTATAAAGTATTTTAAGTGTTTTTATTTAAAAAAAAAAAAACAACTAACCAAATAACCAACCGGCCATGAAGAATACCACTGCCACGCACGGCTACAGACACATGAGCTCAGGGAGCTGAAGAGAGCACTCAGAGACGTTTCCTGAGTACTCCGGGCAGGCCCACACTGTGCCATATGCTTCACCTCCACACCCTCACTGGCTCCTCACAACACGCTCGTGGCAGGCACCACTACTGCTGCCACACTCTGAGATGGAGCAAGCTGTGGCCCAGGGCCAGGACGTACAGTGGGGCAGTACATCTTCATGCCTGAGTTCTTGACACCATATACACTGCCCAGTTTTGCTTTCAAGTAAGACGATAAGAAGAGAAAACGGACATTAAATGCTTAGCGTCTTCAGTGAAAAGTCACTATTTCTAAGAATGAAGGAAGAGGGTGAACTGTGGTTACCCAAAGCAAAAAACCTGGGTCCAGCTGACTCTGTCCCCGGTAATTCAGCAGGGCTGTGTCCGGGTCTTCGAAGACTTCTGGAAAGTCAAGGTGGATGTGGGGGAAGATGAGTCTGGGAAGACACAGGTGGTCCCTGCCACGGGGGAGCTTTCAGGCCAGTAAGGAACACACACACACATCAACCAATCAGCACTAAGCTGGAAAGCACCCTAATAGTCGGTGTGGCCAAACAGCCTGAGACCTGTGGGGAGTGATCCACCCTGAGGCAGCTGGAAGGATTTCACATTTGTCTCCATTTGAACACTTCTAGACCTATGAAGAAGTGCGGAGATGGCCATCCTTCAGCCCCTGGCTCCACCTTTACTCATTCCCTTCAAAGGACAGGAAGCAGTCAGGCAGGAATCCAGTTCCCTCATCAGATCACAAAAGCCAAGGATTTTGGAGTTACAAGCGACTCTATATTATCAGCGCAACACTTTCATCCAGAGACATGGAAGTGTGAGATCAGAGAGGGAGAGGACAAGGAACAATTACTGACAGGTTCCTTACCTCCCGGTCCAGGGCCCTCACCACCTCCACCCTTGGCTAAGTTAGTAGACAACCAACTTATACCAGCTATTCTCCAAGCTCTAAGTCTAGGGTCAAGGGTGCAAAGGGAGAATTCCCATGGTGCAGTCAAGGGGGCAAGATCCAGCAAGCACTCCTGGTCAGGTGCCTACACTTGCCTCAGAGTCAGAGCCTCACCTCCATCATCTCGAAGATGCTCTCTGGGTCCAGGCTGCCCTTTCCCACTTTCCTCATGCATGTTACGACTCCCTTGCTGGTCACAGACACCAACAAGCTGGCCAAAGAGCAGGCCTCCTCCTGAAGAGTAGCATCCACTACATGCCGATAGCCAATCTGCAAAGTCAGGGCGGCAGAGTACAAAAATGGGTAATACACATCCCAGAACCCCATCTTTGATACCTTTGTGAAGGAATATCTACACCAGCGAAGAACTGCCATTCAAGATTTTATTTTAGATTGTACTCATATGGAAAACACCTAAAGCAATGCTCAACAATTCTATCACAGACCACTGTGGAAGCAAAATTACAAAAGCATGAGAAAATAATATGGGATGGGGGTGGGGTGAGAGCCATAATTCAGAGATCATCTAAGTCAAAAGCTACTAAGAGTCTCCAACAGAGGGGCGCGGGGAGAAACTGGCATGTGAAGCCACATGATGTTTCACCGATGACAAAGATGAATCAAGAGGGTGCAAGCCAGAGGCACGCTCAATAATGAGTCAAGTGTAGGTAGCTTTGGTCACTCCCAATGCTTCCCCATACTCCAGGTTCATGAAGTGATTTCAGGGGAATTAAACGTGACTCATTCAGTCCTATTTTTATATGAATCCTGTGTGGAATCAGGGATAGTCTCAGCCAAAACAGGCCTCAGTACACAACAGCATCAGCCACAGGTTAGGCTCCACAGGCCTCTGCGCTAATGTAAAAACCACACTTGGGCAGCCTGGGTGGCTCAGTGGTTTAGCACCGCCTTCAGCCCAGGGCATGATCCTGGAGACCCAGAATCGAGTCCCACATCAGGCTCCCTGTATGCAGCCTGCTTCTCCCTCTGCCTATGTCTCTGCCTTTCTCTCTCTCTCTCTCTCTCTGTGTGTCTCATGAATAAATAAAATCTTAAAAAACAAAAACACACTTGACATAATAGATACCCAGATCCTGCTCCAACCCCTCATTTCATAGATGTGGACGCTGGGGCCTAAAGAGGGGACAGTGTTCAGCTTTCAATCTCCCTATTATTATTCACCCAGCCTAGACCCCATAGAATTGAGGAAATTAAGGGAAATGCGCACACAGGCTGTTTTAGTGAAATGCCTGGTATGGAGGAACTTAAGAAATTCTGGCTACTATTACTATGAACTCACTCCTGTACTCCTGGGACTCCATCATAGCTTCCAATTTAAAAAAGAAAAAGAAAGAGCTGCTCATGTAGTGGTTTCTTTTTTCTTTTTTTCATATAGTGGTTTCTAATATAACCAAATTACTAGATTTAGATTAAAGCTACTTCTACATGGTTTGTGACACTAAAACTTCTCAACCTATTAAATAAGCTTAATGGGTTGGGATTGAAGGAGACCCACAAGGAATTCAAAAACCATCAGATACAACCACATACCTTGCACAGGGTGACAATGCAAGGGACATTCTCCACACTTAGCCGGATGCAGTCATAAGGGTCATCTGAGAGTTCAATGTCCTTGGACCCCTCTTCATCCTCTAAAACACGAACTCTTGGTATCCTAGGAGCAGAAGCACAATTAAAGTTCCCAATTACTGTGAGGAGAAAGAGAACTTCTTTTTCTTGAGACTGAGAATAGGAGTCAGAATTCCTGCATCTTACAAGATAAAGTCACACCCCACCTGTACTTTATCATTCTCATCTCTACCATCTCTGTGAAAAGTGCACAGGCAATCCTGCAGAGCACTGAAGAAAGGAGGACTTTTAAACATGATCCTTGGTCAATCAGATATGCACATGGAGAAAAAAAAAATGATCCCTATCTCACACCATAAACAAAATCCATACCAAATAGACTACAGAGAAAGAGGAAAGATAAAATATAGCTCCTAGAAGAAAAATTAAAAACATCTTCATGACCTTGGAGTAGACAAAGATTTCTTGAACAGACCACAAAAAGGGCTTACCACAAGGGGAAAAAAAAAACAATAGATTCAATCATGTTGAAGAAATCTACTGCACAGATTTTTATATTGTGCCATCTGTGAACAAAGCAAAGAATCTTAACCTAAAAGTGAATCCCTTCATACTAAAATTACACAGGGGAAATAAGGGACTTGTTAGTGAATGTGATCTGTTATTACATGAGATTCTTTTTGGTCTTTATCTTGTTACTTCCATGTAGAAATTTGTTAACCAGAAACCTTTGACATTTGAAGCCTTTGTATTGAAGGTATTCTGAATACAGAAAATTATGTGTGCCTATAGAATAAGCTACAATAAAATAACATCATATATTTGGAAAATCCTCTAGAGTTTACTGGGATACTTTTGTGTTTATTATTTCACTGAAGAAAAAAAAAAGGAATGAAATAGAGCTGGACATTTTAATTGTCTGTTATTCAGTTATGTTCCCCCAAAGACAGAATAAGACAAATGAAATTATGGTCAATATTGTACTCATTTCCCCATCCTTAGAGTCTAACACACTATCTTACACAAGGAGGGACTCATTTAATGAATGAGATTTAATTATTTGTTCAAGGTCATAGCACTAATGATAGTTAGAACCAAGACTAAATGCAGGCCTTCTAGCCCCCACAGCAGCGTTTGCTCCACACCATGGCTAGCATAATAGCACCTGCCTATGCAAGGGCAGAGAAACTAGAAAACCAAAGAAGAATAATGTAGGTGTGTTTGTATTTTCTCTGAGATTGACCAACCTTTCCACTTTCAACATGCTGGCAGGTGAACAGATGATGAAGATAAAGCAATGATGAAAATAAAGCATGGGTCACCATAAGGCAACCGCTGAGAACTCTCTGCCCATAAATACCATCAATGTGTCCATCTGCTCCATATTTAGATACACATTTGTCAAAATTAACATATTTAGACTCATGTAAGTGAAGACCACGTTCTGGAAGGTATTAGAAAGTGCTGCTGAAGACTGATGAAAAAGCCTGAGGCCTAAGAAAACATTAATAGCTAACGTTTCTTTATTCTGGAAAGAGCTATATAAGCTAGTGGAGAAGTTCCCCCTTGGGGACTTCTCCAGTGTGGTCTAAAAGGGATAAACATGATCTGTGTCATTTCACTGGCCAGACCCTCTGAACACAAGCTGCACTTATTGTTTTTCATCTGGATTAAATGGATATTAGAAATGAAAACAATCTTTCCACCTCAGGCTGATGTACTACTTTCAGAAGAGCATAATCACCTCTAGGCAGAATAAATCATTTTCTCAATGGCCCTCTTTCTATACAATGTTTTGAAATAAAAAAAAAATATATATGAACTTCTGTTTGTCAAAAGACATCATTTAGAAGTTAAAAAGATGGGGTGCCTGGGTGGCTTGGTTGGTTAAGCCTCTGTCTTTGGCTCAGGTCATGATCTCAGGGTCCTGGGACTGAGCCCCATGTTGGGCTCCCTGCTCATGCTCTCACTTGCTCTGTCTCCCTCAAATGAATAAATAAAAAATCTAAAAAAGAAAAAAAAAAGTTGAAAAGATATTCCAGAATGGAGAAATATTTGCAAATGTGCGTGTGTGTGTGTGTATGTGTGCATACATAGGAGCTGACATATTATGTAAAAAATTCCTACTGCAGGTAAAAAAAAAAAAAAATTCCTACCAAATATAAAAGACTAACAACCTAACAGAAAAATAGGCAAAAAGACAGACTTGAACAGAGACTTCATAAAAGAGGCTACTCAAGTAGCCAACAAACACACAAAGAGGTATTCAACTTAAAAATTCATCAAGGAAATACAAATTAAAACTACAATATGATACTAGGACATATGCCAAAATGGCAGATACTAAAAAGATAAACCCCCTTCTGCCCCCCAAAAAAACTTGAGTTGGCAAAGATGTGAAGCAACCCGGAACGCTTATACAATGCTGGTGAGAGTACCATCTAGTAAAAGCACTTTAGAAAACTGTTTTGCAGTACCTACTAAAACCAAACATAGCCATGTCTCATGATCCAAAATTTTCACTCGTATCCAGCAGAAGTGGGTAAATATGCGCAAGAAAAATACAAAAATGTTCATGTTTGGAACAGCCAAAACCTGGAAACTACCCAGATGCTCATCCACAGTAGAATGGATAAATTGTGGCACAGTCACACAATGGGCCACCATGCAGCATAAATCAAACTATGACTACAGGCCACAATACAGATGTCTCAAAACATAATGCTCAGTGAATGAAGCAGACACAAAAGAGAACTCACTGTGTAATTTCATTTATATCAAGTACAAAACCATTCTACTGTTGGACAATGGTTATCCTCAGTGGCTGTAATGATTGCATGGGGGTGGATGGTGAGAGTGCTTCTGGGGGGGTAGGGCTGGCAACATTCTGTTTCTTGAGCTGGGTTCTGGAAAACACATTTAACCCGTAGAGTCCGTCCATCCCCATCTGGGATACAGGAGTCAGGAAGGAAGAGATGGTCCTTTCAGCTACGTAATGGAAACAGTGTTGGTGCTTTGCCTTGCTCCTCTAACAAAAGCCCTCTATGAGTCTAGCCCTGCTGGCTGTCCCTACACAAGGCCACATCCACAGCAGATGAGCTGCAGCCAGGGAATGTCTGCAGGAACCAAGGGGTCCTGCTAGGGTCTGCCCTAGCTCAAAGCCTCCATGTCAGGGGCACCTAAGGTGTTAAGTATCAAGTAACATTCTATTTGAGCAAGTCAGGTAACCAGTTTGAATTCTGATTGGTACGTTAAAAAATGAGTGTGTGCAAACACACACACACACACACAGACACACATCTTCCTAATACTTTGGCCCCAACCTGGTTCAGCTGAAGGACTGAGAATGGCCTTTCCTCTTCTAAATAACATGGATTCTCCAAAACGTCTTTCCATGTACCAGGACCCAATACCTCACATAGCCACATCCCTTGCTACAGTAGGGCTGTTCTTGTTCTGGGGAGGAGACTTATGGCTATGCCTACAACAGGTGTCCTCCCCAACCTGAGCAGCTGGGTTTCACTATCCTGATGTACAGTTTGCCCAACACTTCCCCCACAGCTAAACAGCCTTCTGGTTCTACTCTTTCCTTTTCCTAGTGCCCATGGAAACCAGCTGGCAGATGGGTAGTGATTTCTGAAGCTCAAGGCACAACAGATGGCAACTTCCTTTCTTCTCCAATAGAACCCCAGCACAGGCTGCTGCAATGGCATAGGTGCTTGGGCCCCACTGTGGACACGAGTGCTAGGCCCACCTCCTGACTGATCTCAGCCCCAAGTCTAGTGGCATTGCTCAGGGTGGGGGACTTATACAGCTTTCATTCTCAGCAAATATTCCATCCTGCAATGTCGGACTTAAATTTATTTAACTTCCCTTTGAATAACACAGGTAGTCTAAATTTACCATATAAGACCTCTAAAATATAGATAAATATTAAGTCACCTATAATAGGAGCACTAGAAAATCATCGCAATGCCCATTTGGGGATATACATATCTATCTATCCAACCATCCAGACATATTCATAAGAACTGCCGAAAGTAAAATATAACAAAACAAATGAGATGAGAGGATCATGGTTAGTGTCTGGTTTTCTGTATTAACAAACCCCTAAATAGGCTGCTGGGCAGAGTTCAATCCCCTGTGTTAGGATACTCAGGCTGTTCCTAACTTCTTACCATTACAAAGAAGCTGCAATGAACACCCTAGAATAATACCCTTGCTCATTTATCCAATTAATTCCTTAGACTATGCCCTAGAAGTCTCTAATTTTCATGTTCTATACTCTAGGACCCCCATTCCCTTAATGTAAGCTCTCTTATGGCATGAAAACCCTGGCCCACATATTTTTTTTCTTTTTTTAAAAGATTTTTTTTTTTTAAGATTTTATTTATTTATTCATAGAGACACAGAGAAAGGGAGCCCTGGGAGGCACAGCGGTTTGGCGCCTGCCTTTGGCCCAGGGCGCAATCCTGGAGACCCGGATCGAATCCCACGTCAGGCTCCCGGTGCATGGAGCCTGCTTCTCCCTCTGCCTATGTCTCTGCCTCTCTCTCTCTCTCTATCATAAATAAATAAAAATTAAAAAAAAAAAAAAAGAGAGAGACACAGAGAGAGAATGAGAGGCAGAGACACAGGCAGAGGGAGAAGCAGGCTCCATGCAGAGAGCCTGACGTGGGACTCGATCCAGGGTCTCCAGGATCACACCCTGGGCTGCAGGCGGCGCTAAACCGCTGCGCCACCGGGGCTGCCCTAAAATATTTTTTTAATGTATTTATTCATGAGAGACAGAGAGAGAGAGAGAGGCAGAGACACAGGCAGAGGGAGAAGCAGGCTCCATGCAGGAAGCCTGACACAGAACTCGATCTTGGGTCCCCAGGATCATGCCCTGGGCTGACGGCGGTGCTAAACCGCTGAGCCATCCAGACTGCCCCACATATTTATTTTCAAATGCTGCCAACTTTCTTTCAAGAAGTTGGTGCATGGAAGAGGAGATGTCGGGCAGCCCGAGTGGCTCAGCAGTTTAGTGCCGCCTTCAGCCCAGGGTGTGATCCTGGAGACCTGGGATCAAGTCCCACGTCAGACTCCCCGCATGGAGCCTGCTTCTCTGCCTCTCTCTCTCTGTCTCTCATGAATAAATAAATAAAATCTTAAAAAAAAAAAAAAAAAAAAGGAAGAGGAGAAGTCTGTATGATCAGTCAGAGGAAATGCCAGCTCCTAAACTGCTTAATGCCATGTCCCTTGCACACAGCTGGCTGGGAAGCTGAACCACAGTGGCAGAACCATTTCCTGCTCTTAAACCCAAGAGTAGGCTGCTGTCCTGCTTTCAGAACATTCCTGTGTCCAGTCAAGGAATATGTGAGCATTTACTACATGTCAGGCATTGCTCACGGTGCTGGGGATCTAGCAGGCTACACAACAGGCAAAACTCATGCTCCTGAGCAGTTTTATCCAATAATCTCACAGTTAATCTGTGGTTGCTTTCCACTCTTTTTGCTTCTCTGTGGTTCCCTAGTATTTTTCTACATGAGACATGGTTACTTATGAAAATAACATAAAGAACAAATAGAGAAATATACGCACCTGGAGCTTACCATGAAGTGCCACCATGTTTCATGCTAAAGCCCCTCATTACCTTCCCGTGCTGAGAGCTTCACCTGTCCCAAGTGTTTCATCATAAGTGTCTGCTCAGGCTCTGTGCGGGGCTGTTCCCAGGAAGACTTACCTTGTGTTGAAGAGAGCAGCCTTCACGGCAATGCAGATGGTGTCGAACAAATTCCCACCACATTCCAGCAGCTAAGGGAGGCAGGAAGTGAAGCAGGGAGGAAAAGCAAACGTCACTTCTTGCTCTAAGTACCATCTCAGTTAAAGGATACCGGTTCCTACGAAACACTGACAAAGTGCTCACAAAACAAAGAGAAGAACATGTGGAAGCTGTCCTGGAGGACGCTTGGTGCATTCACCCTCATTGCAAGAGACACCTTGGCAGCTGTGCTGGCCTAGGCGCCACAAGTGAGGTCACCACTGGTCCGGGCTATGGGTCTACCACTCAGGCCCCCACCTGTGGTGGGTGACCTCTAACTGGCCCCCTAGCCAGTTGGATCTGCATTCAAGGAGGAAATGATCATGTTTATTTGGTCCCAGATGGCTCCTTACTGCACCGCAAGCATGACTCTCCCCTGTGCTGACATAAACTTGGCCTCCAAACAGGTTAAGTCAGGGTGGCCACTGATGCTGCAGCTGCAACCAGGCTCACAGTTATGACTGTGGTTACCTCCTATTTGTAATTAACAACGCATAGCCAATGCTCGAACATGGACCAAACACCATGCTGCACGTTCGGTAGACTAAAAACCAAGTTCTTGCCCATGAGCAATAGCATGGACTGTGCTTATGCATGCTCATTCAGCAGGAAAGGTCAGAGCCTGATACTAAGTGGAAGGTGACACATCCTTCTGTCCTCATTTCAGTGATGCCTTGATCTGAGGCTATGGAACAAAGCCAACTAGGTGACCCCAAGAAAGGAAGGAGAATCAGTCACATGTAGAAAGAAAAGTCATGTAGTTAGTCTCTTATGCTTTTGCTTAGAGTCTATCTCCTCTCCTGAGGGCTGGACCCTGTCAAGTTTGTCCAGTCCTTTCTCGTCAGGGCCCAGCAGAAGGACTGCCATGAAGAAACAGCCTTGTGGGTACTTACAGAAAGCAGGCAGCCTAAGCCTGGGCCTTCCAAATTCCACTCAGAATTGACAATCATACCTGGTGTGTCCTTCACACATCACATTCATCTCTAACTGCTCTTTATGCAGACGCCGCTGTTCCCACAGCACGGCAGAATTATGCTCATTAAAACAGGACACCCCCACCCCCACCTGCACCCCCAGCCCATGTTACCACCCGACTTTGTAACTGCAGCTCACTGGCCTAGCAGGGGACTACCTCTTCTCCACGTGATTCAGACACAGACTGCCACACAGCAAAGAGCTCCGGCTGGACTCCTGAGTCAGACTGCTAGGATTTCTGTCTTTGCTGGTCAGCTGGCTGCTACTTGACCTCTCTCTGCCTCACAGAGGGTAAAAATCACAACCATCTCACAGAATTGTTACATGGGCTGAATGAGTTCATATATGTAAAGCCCTTAGAAGTGTGTCTAGCACACAGTAAGCATGAGCTGAGTGCTTCTAAAGAATACTGGCTTGTGCCTTCGTTTCCCCGTTGCCATCTTCACAGACTTTCTGAGGAAGTGTGCTGCACGTTTTCCATCTGCATCGCTGACAGCTGAGGTCTCTAACCCTGGCTGTGCATCAGAATCACCTGGGGAGCTTATGAAACATGCACAGTGACATTCTGGTGTGTGCATTTTACTCCAGACTTGAGATGGTCCTGATGATTAGCCAGGGCTGAAGACCACTGTCTCACACTTTGCTGTCCCACAGTGCCTGCTTCATGCAAAGAAGGTCCAAGGGAAATGCTGACATCTGCTCTAGCAGCTGGGGGTCTGGTCTCCCTGCAGGAAGGGACCCTGGAGAACACATCACCCCCCCCCCTTTCTTGGCAGCTAGGGGCACAGAAGCCCTCCTGCTCATGACACGGTGGCCTGCTACAAAGTTTGATTTTCAACATTCTGGCTTATCAGCAAGAGAGGAAATCAAGAGGGCAGAATGCTAAACCCGATCTGCCCAAAGGGCAGGTGCCAGCTGGCCTACCTTCCTCCCTGGGGTGCAAAGGACGAGCTCACTCCAGGCCTCAGATGTGCCCACTCAGGCTCCTCTTGGTGCGCCATACAATGGGGTAACCCAGGTCCGGCAGTGTGGGTCTGCCACTTGCTGGCCATGTGCCCTCTGAGCTTCAGGTTCTCCCTCAGTAGAGCAAAGCTTTGCTTCTCTATGGGATGACTGCAAGGACTAAATGAGATCATGTCCTCACCATTCCCAGCACTTAATGGGCTCAAAGACCCTAGTCTCCTCTCTTGCTGCCAAGCAGGTGCAGCCTAGCAGGAATCTTCCTGCTATACACAGTGGTACAACCAGGAAGCAGGGGACAGTGGGTGCAACGTGGACACCCAAAGCAGCCTGAGCGCATCTGAGAATAGGCCCAGACAAGCCAGGGGAGAACAGGAGGTGCGGGATGACTTGTGTTACAGAGGGCCTGGGCTGTGGTCCTGGAGCAGGACATGGGTGTCTGCCCTCTCCAGGGCAAAAATCCCTCCTGTAACATAGGTGGGAAAGGAGGAGAACTGGAGAAGAGAAGGATACACACAATCATAAACACACTGTTCCCTGTCAGGTGCACAGATTCTAGAATGTTGGTTTTTTGTTGTTGTTGTTTTTAAATTCTATTTATTTATTCAGGAGACACACACACAGAGAGAGAGAGAGAGAGAGAGAGAGAGAGAGAGGCAGAGACACAGGGAGAGGGAGAAGCAGGCCCTGTGCAAGGAGCCTGACGCGGGACCCAATCCCGGGACCCCAAGACCATGTCCTGGGCCAAAGGCAAGCACTGAGCCACCCAGGGATCCCCTAGAATGTTCTTTTAGGGGAACAACACAACTTATTCTGTTGGCCTTCTGGGGATGAGGGCTTTCTTTTCATAAGGCAAACCTCCAAAACACACTGCTAGGAAGCACAAGGAGAAAACATGTCTCCCCACAAAACACCTGCTCTCCCGGACTTCCTCTCACCATCCTCTCAGACACTCAGGCTGGGTGCCTCCTGGCACAACACACAGCCAGCTGCCAGGTGCTGCAGTCACTCCCCCACTCTCTCTGTCCTCCCCAGGCCCAGCTCCATGGACCATGTGCCAGTCCCTCATCACTACTCCCAGGGATCATCACATGACAGCCTTATGACTGATCTCCCCACCAAAGGTCGCCTACACACTGTCAGTGTGACAAAGTCCTAACAGGTATCCCACACAGAGTAAAAACCATGACACTAAAGTATGAAGAGCGGGACACCTGGGTGGCTCAGCCATTTGGCGCCCGCCTTTGGTCCAGGGTGTGATCCGGGTTCCAGGATCAAGTCCCACATCGGGCTCCCTGCATGGAGCCTGCTTCTCCTTCTGCCTGCGTCTGCCTCTCTCTCTCTGTGTCTCTCATGAATAAATAAATAAAATATTAAAAGAAAAAGAAGTACGAAGAGCAAAGAAGGGTGACATTTCCAGGAAGTTACATTTCTACTCTCATAAAATAAGCCAAATGAGGTAAAAAAAAAAATAATAATAATAATACTGGAAATAGGGGGAACATCTGACTAGAATAGTAAATGTACCTATAATAAAAGCATGAAAACAAGGACAGTTGCCCAGTGACTATTTGTTTGAAAGATGTGCTCTGCTTAAGGACTATCCAGACCAGCTGGTAAAAAATAAACTGAGATTCATTCTTTTTTTTTTTTTTTTAATTCCTGTAACAAGACTGGATATCTACCATCTTGCTTCAAACATGGACTCAATGTATTCCATATATTTTTAGATGTAAGATAAAAACTTAGTCCCAAAACAAAACCTCCAACTTGCATGCACAAAGCACATCCCCATCAAGGCTGAAAACAAACACTGGCTTTTAGAAAACTTTTTTCTTTTTTTAAAAAGATTTTATTTGTTCATGAGAGACACACAGAGAGAGGTAGAGACAGAGGAAGAAGCAGATTCCATGCAGGGAGTCCAATGTAGGACTCAATCCCAAGACCCCAGGATCACGACCTTAGCCAAAGAGACGCTCAACCACTGAGCCACCCAAGTAGCCCTCAGAAAACTTTTCTGAGGATGACAACATTCCAAAAGTTTATGTCTTATTTCCAAAACAAATAGAGCCTTGAGGAAAAAATACTAGAGAAGAAATCCAAATGCAAGGAGTCTTAAAAGAAAGGTCTGCAGATGACAGGGACACAGTGTACCATTCAGACACCTGCTTACCATCTGTCTTCTGCCCATGGAGGGAGGGCACTGGTGCTAAGCTGAGACAACGTCCCAATCTTCAGCCTTTTTATAAAAGCCTACACTGAGAGAACAGGCCTCTTGACTAAACCACACATCAGGACCCTCACTGGGCCAGCCTCCTACAAAACCACGAGTGTGCACAAATACAGACAAGGAAACAAAAGCAGGATCACCAGAGGACAAGTGCCATGCACGACAACCCTTGTGTCTTCAGCTTTTTTGGGAGAAAGGAAAAGATACAATGTTCTTCAGACACAGGGTAGAACCTTACAATTCACACAGTGGGGCTGTACATCCCCAGGTAGCTAAGAAACCTGCCTCTTATTCAGTAGGGATTGCAGGTTGCCAGTTCCTGCCTCCTCAAAACCAGGACTTAAAAAATTAACTGCTTGGTAGAACTGCATGAAAAGGTACATCCCACTTATTGGAGGTGAGGAAAAGCAAACGGACTTTGTCATTTCATTATTTTTACCCACTAGGGCCAGCATCCAGAACAACCCTGACCTGCTGGACAATGATCACCACTGCTAACAACCCTGACCTGCTGGACAATGATCACCACTGCTATCTTTTGGCTAGTTGTACTTCATCCATTATCAAATTAATTTAAAAGGATCTGGAGGGGCACCCGGGTGGCTTAGTCGGTTAGGGTCTGCCTTCGGCTCGGGTTGTGATCCCGGGGTCCTGGGATTGAGCCCCATGTCGGATTCCCTGCTCATCAGGGAGTCTGCTTCTCCCTCTGCCTGCTGCTCTCCCTGCTTGTGCACTCTCTCTCTTTCTCTCTCTCTGTATGTCTCTCTGTCAAATAAATAAATCTTAAAAAAAAGAAAAAGAAAAAGGATCTGGAAAGTCCTGCCCTGTTTAATACAGGGCCAACATTTAGAGACAAGCCAGGTTGCTCCTCATAACCAAGTTCACTCTCAGTCCACAAAATCTGCTTTATCTTTAGAATCATTAAAGGATCTGTTAGGTCAATGGTTTAGCCTTGTGACTTCAATCTAAAGTAGAAGATGTAGTCACTAATCTCCAGGTTCATAAAACTTAACTAAAAGGAATAAAATAGATCCAACAAGAGTCTGTCCTTACATGAACAAGTGGCGAATTTAGTGCCAGCAGTATGAGAAATTACTGTCCAGTGCCCAGAAGCAGGCTGCAGAGCATCTGGGAGGGAAGACACCAGGAAGGAAATGGCAGACTGGACCAGAGAGACTCCTGTAGGAGCAGAATCAGAGGAGGAGGCAGGGTCTCAGAGTCCTCCCCCAGGAAGCCAGGGACACAAAGCGGGTGGGCTACAGCGTGCTTTCAAAGGACGATGGCTTACTGAGATCAAGAGCAGGCACTGGCATTAAACAGACGCAGCTTTGACCCCGATACCACTACTCATAAGCTGAGACTTCTTGGGCTGGTCACTGTACCTCTCCGAGCCTCAGTTCCCTCACCTGTAAGTGGGGAAGATAGCAGTGCCTGCTCATGAAAGAGCCAAAGGGTCTACATGAAAATGCATATACAGAGTTCATCTGGGATCCCTGGGTGGCGTAGCGGTTTAGCGCCTGCCTTTGGCCCAGGGCGCGATCCTGGAGACCCAGGATCGAATCCCATGTCGGGCTCCCGGTGCATGGAGCCTGCTTCTCCCTCTGCCTATGTCTCTGCCTCTCTCTCTCACTGTGTGCCTATCATAAATAAATAAAAAATAAAAAAAATAAAGTAAAAAAAATAAATAAATAAAGAGTTCATCCTTGGGGTGTAGTCAGTTAAGCCTCCGACTCTCGGTTTTAGCACAGGTCATGATCTCAGGTCATGCTTCTGTGAGATCTGAGTCCACAGAGGGCTCGGGACTCAGCATGGAGTCGGCTAGTTTCTCTCTCCTTCTTCCTCTGCCCCTCCCCACTGCACACCGTGTGCACTTTTTCTCTCAAATAAATAAATCTTTTTTTTTAAAAAAAAGCTCATCCGCATTCCAAGTAGAATACACCAACTTGTCTAACTTCTGCCCGTCACCTCCATCTGATACCATCTTGAGAGCATCTCTTGTTTTTTATTTTTCTTTCCTTCCCTGACAAACCCAGTGGGTAATTTTAGGTGCTACCATGATAGGACTGTTTTGTGATTTTTGCTATAGGACGGTATTATATGTATGCTATGGTATGTGCATTGTATTTAATTTTAAAAAATTTATTATAGAAAAAAAATAAAAATAAAAATAAATAAAAATTTATTATAGGACATCATGTTTTTTCAGTCTAATCTTCCCCTGGAAGCTGAAAGTTGAAGGAACTTCATCCACTTGAAGAGGGAAAAAGCACCAGCAGGAAAGTAGGCCAACTGGCCTCCAGCAGAGGCAGACAGTGTGGCCAGTACAGCAACGTGATACGTACCAGCACGTCCACATAGAGAATCCAGCAATGCTCCCGGGGACTAATGCAGAGGGACTTCAGGTCAACGCTGCTCTTGTTGTTAAATATCCGGTAGAGGGTGTTAGCAATCTCTGTGCCAAGGTCATCACCTCCTCGGCCTTCAAACTCAGGGGTAGCATTGGCTGAACTACATAGAGAGGCAACAGATAAGGTGAGTGAGTCTTTTCAAATACAAAGAGTGAAGGCACAAGGCTTTGTTCCAGTCTCCCTGTGGAAAGATGGAAGGGTCAGTGCTATAGGGAAAGTCACTGCAGTAGGCAAGGATGCTACTCGTCCACCCTCCAGACACGCGCAGTGAGCCAGATCAGTAAGCACTGTGCCCTGGATTTGTCAGTGTACATGATGGGGGTTCCCCCACCCCCCACTTCTAACAGAAGCCATCTTTATCCAAAGAGAAACAAGAGAACAATAGTTAAGCGAACCTTGGCAGCAATAACGAACTCTCTGGAGAGTGGAATACTTCCCTCGGGCGGGCCCAGGAAGTCAGGAGGCCTAGGGAGTCAAGCAGTCTGGTTATAAAGGGATCAAATTATGTACACCATCCTGGGTTTGCATAGCCTTAAAATGCACCCCGAAACTCTCAAAACCAAAACCACACCGTAAGCACAGTGACCTTCCCAGAATGATTTAGAAGATCTGTATGACGGTATGCTAGTTCTATTACACACTTTAGCTATCACTGTACTGAATAGCAGGAAAGTGAAATGAGAGAGAAAAGCTACTGGCTGATTAAATATCAGATTATTTCTTTTACTTTATTTGCTGTTTTTTCAAGAGGAAAACCTTTTCCATTTGGCCTCTTGAATCTTTTTTTTTTTATTTTATTTATTTATTTGAAAGAGCATAAGCAGGGGGAGAGACGGGGTGGGGGGAGAGCAGGCTCCCCACTGAGCAGGGAGCCTAATGCAATGTGGACCCCAGTATCACAACCCAAGCCAAAGGCAGGTACCCCTGGCTTCTTGAATCTTATGCCCAATTATCTCAACAAAGAAGGAACAGTTATCAACATTTGCTGCCCTAAGCAACATTCCTATTTATTTATTTATTTATTTATTTATTTATTTATTTATTTATTTATTTTAAGATTTTATTTATTTATTCATGAGAGACACACAGAGAGAGAGAGAGGCAGAGACACAGGCAGAGGGAGAAGTAGACTTTACACAAGGAGCCCGACGCAGAACTCGATCCTGGGACTCAATCCTGGGACTCCAGGATCACACCCTGGGCCAAAGGCAGGCGCCAAACCGCTAAGCCACCCAGGGATCCCACAACATTCCCATTTAATGGGAAATTCTTGAGGATTTTGGCTTAATAAAAACCCTCAATACATCTGACATAAGTTAACAGTCCAGTAATCATGTTACTGTAATGAATAAGGTCCAGAAAGGTAAGACACCAGCTGTTTCACAATGTTCTCTACAAAATCACATACTGAAGCTTTCTGGTCCATGCACTCACCCACCCAGAAGGTACCAGCTCTACACTAGGCACTGGAGATGGAGAACCTGAGCAAAAGGCAGATGAAGGCCCTAAGTTGGCAATGTCCCAAAATCAGGGAGAACTTCATGACAGGGATTAAACAGCAGCAGTGGGGCTGGGGAGGATGTCAACCAGTGCTGGGGGTTGCAGGAAACCTCAAACCCAAATGTGAGCACATGTCGGTCAGGCTGCAGACAGGTAGGGGGATTCCACGCAAAGCAAAACCCATGGGAAGGCTCTAGGCTATGCCCACCCCTGTGTAATGCTGAAAGAAATCTCACCTAATATATTTAAATACCCCTTATGTCATCCTACCATAGGTATAAGGATGGCCCCTGAGATAATCAAGAGTGTCCACTATATAGTAACTTTGCTTCTCTAGTTATATAGCCTTCCCTTAGCACTATGAGCCAGAAGAGCCCCAACTTAAAATCCCTAAGAGAAACTTCACCCCTACAGCAGCCTCAGTGTTCCCTCACTGCTTCTGTGGGACTCAGGCACTGAGCCATGAAAAGCAGCTCATTTGTGGTGAAATAATCAAGTTACCAAGGATCAATAATTTTGCACAGCCAGCAAAACAAAAGCTGTTTATAATTTATGCACTAAGTAATCAATATTAAGATCTTTTAAGTGTTTAAAAACACATCTATATAGATCTGAGTAGACAAATCCAGCCAGAGGTGCTTATGCTTACAAAGTGTACTTTTTCCTGACTGCTGCGGGCCACACCCTCCTGGGGGGGGCACTAATTAATTACTCGGGGATGATATATTTGCTCTTTTACAGCCCTAGGGGATGGCTTATAGAACTTCTCAGGTCCAACTGCCTAAATTAATCTACGCACAAAACCATGCCCCACTGGGGGTTTTTTGACACTGAACTAATTTAAAGTGGGAATTTTTCCTATTCTAAAGGTTTTCTCTTTAAACACACTATTTTTTCAGCATAGCTGGTAGCCAGGCAGAGAGGGAGGTTTAGAGGTTCATGAGACCGTGTAAAGGTCTTGTTTCTGGATGGTGCCTAAGCCTTGGAGTGTCTCTGGGGAGGAGGCTGGAAAAATGGAAGGAAATTGTCAGGGCTGGGAGGGGGTAGGGGCACAAAACTTCAGGTAACATGAAAAAAGTCAGAGACCCCATATTCTAACAAAGGATGAAGAGTAGGGTTGGGATAGAGAACTGAGGGTTCCCCCCCACCCATCACTAGGGATGCTCCTACCACAAGGACACTTCTTGGTAGAGGTGGAGAGAGAGATGCAGACCTGGAAAAGGACCTCAGAGACCATGTCGGAGGACAAGAAACCAAACGCCCACAGGGGCCCAGCCAGATAAGCACATGCTCTGAACAAAGAGCTACCAGTGATTAACAGGCAGTGATGGGGACTCTGACAAACTTTCTAGCCCATCTAAAGGCATTTTATTAACTCACATCTGAAAACAAACTGTTAGTGAAATATCTCACAAGTGGGTTCTGACCTAGGGGAGAACGAGGAGACTTCACATGGTCCAACTTTCTCATTTTACAAGGAGAAAAACTTTAACAGCTCTTTTGAATGTTTACTATGTGCTTGAAGCCACTTTTAGCATCTTAAATATACTAGCTCACTCAATACTCACAACAACCCTCTGAGGTAGGCACTATTTCTGAGCCCATTTTAGAGAAAACGGAACTGAGTCTCAGGAAGGTTATATAATTTGTCCAAGCTCACACAATTAGTGACTGCGGAGCTAAAATTCCAACCCAGGCAGCCCGGCCCTTACCTGTTAGGCAGCAGTGGACTCTCACCGAATGTGTTATGTGGCATGTCTGGCTTATATAGCCTAATGTGAGTCAAGGTAATGAATGGATGCTCTGGTCCTGGGACTTCTTACTAGACCACAAATACTGTAGTCAAGAATGCAGACCAAAGGAGTCCTACATAAAAAGCTTCTCTATTAAGTGCAAAGTTTAGAAAGAGAGAACGTGCACACAGGATGATAAAACCTGGCCCCTGCTCAGAGATATCACAGTACATTCTTTCAGTAGCAGAGTATACACTGGGGACATAAAACCAAGTTCTTTCTGTATCTACAACTGCCAAAACCAATTCAGATCCCTCATAAAGTATGACCCAACCCCTCTTCTGGGGCTGTGGGGAAACTGCTTACTGAGCAGATAAACTAGTAAAAATCCTGGGAACGCTGCCCCTCCCAGTTCTCCACCCCTCCTGACTCATCACCTCTACTCTGCTCCTCCCGGCTTGGGACTTCTCCGGTTTAACTAGGATAGGGTGAGATCAAGGCCATGTCTACCTGGGACAGGACTTCACACACTAGACCCATTGTTTCCTCTGTGATCAATCTAGCCTGCAAATCCTTGGAGTCTTACAGCCAAATCAGGTCAGGACTATGGCAGAAAAAAATGACTCAGTGGGTCTGTGGGGCAGGCTAACTCTGGGCCTTACCAGACCACTGGTCAGTCATCTAGCCCTGCAGCATGCCCCAATTCTTCCCATTCCCCTAGGTGTACAGGTGCTCATTCCTGAACCTGCAAAAGCTTCCCTCTGAGTGGGAACAGGGACAGTCGCACACTTTGAGCTTTTCATTGTAAGCCCTTGATTGAAATTTCTGTAAGAGTTAATTAGTTCTGAAGACTTCCAGAGTATAGCTAGCTTCAACTGACTTTTGCAGGTTGCTTGTTGCTTTATCCCCCACCACCCCAGCCCACTAGGCACTAACAGTATCCCCTTTAAGCAGCACTAAGCAGTGAGGAACAGAGATCAAATGGCTCCATTTATCAATTCAGGGCTGGAAGCTTCTAGTTCAATATGAGTGATAAATACGAGTGATTACAATGAAAAGTAGTTAAGATCCCACAGGGAAGTGGCAACTGCTGGGCACAGTGAAAAGTCTATGAATGAAAAATGTTCTCAACTGCCCCAATGAAAAGCCCCGAAGCCTCTAGAAGAGGCTAAACCATTCCTCCTGATACCCCCCATCAACATGGTGTCTGAGCTACAAAGAGACTAGATGGACCGCCACCTAGTGGTAGCCCAGAGTGACATACCAGCTCCCTAAATTCTTAACCCTCCTCTGGGCCTCAGATGGAAACCATATTTTCCCAAAGTTTCAAAGTTCTTATTTAAAACAGCCTGTTCTCAAGTTACAGCTAACAAACCAAAGACAGGAGACAGGAATTAGAAGGTCCCAGTTTGTTCCCAGTTTGAGTTGTGTGTGCTGCCAGGCATCTCTGGGGCAGTGCTCAGGAACCCCAAGTCTTTACTACTCCACCGGAATCGGGGCCAGGGTCAGCGCAGCTGGGTACCTGCCCCAAAGAGCAGCACTCCCAAGACACAGGGAATATTATAGGGGTGGGAGGCAACGTCTAGCTCAGGTGACAAGTATTATTCCTAGAGACAGTGAAGTAGAATGAGTTAGCAGAAAAGCAGTTCATTTTCTGAGACCTCTCTAATCACTGGGAATGTAAATGATTAAACTCTGGAAGTTACTGCTAAGTCACATTGGGCTCAAACTGACAACCCCACACCACCCGACTACTGTCCTCCAGCTGAATACCACCTCTGCTTCAGCCTATGGGTGGGTGATTGCGTTGGGTTCTCTAGCAGAGGGGTTGGAAGGTAGCCCCCTTAGTGCTGGGCATAGCCATAAAGGTCCAGAAGCCCTTCCTGTTCACTGGATGAGAATAAAAGGGTTTGTTTGTGCAATTCAGAGTTGCTCTTTGAAGACTCAGATGAGGTTCCAATAAAGGTGGCAGCCAGCAGTGCCTGGTAAATCAACATCTCCCTCCTCTGTAGGAATACAAGATTCTGTGAATCTCTCATGGTGATTCCGATGTGGTAAACAAAGGCAGAAGGAAATGTAGACAAAGATAAAATTAAATGTCCATACAACCCACAGCCCATTGACAAATATTTGAGGAAGGCAGAGTATAAGGTTCCTCCAGGAAGCTCCTAAATGTCTTAATGTTAATGCCTTGCTAGTGGGAAAAGCAACCTTAGTTTGACAATAGCAAGGCCTCCAGTATTTGGTGAATCTTCTTTAGCATATGAAGATCCTCTTGGAATTTCCCTTATCTTTACTTTCCCCAACCTCAAAGTATATAATGAATCACAATCCAGGGGCAGCAGAGGGCAGCTGGCAGCAGCAGCAGCTCTTTCTGCCCATGGGTCCTGTCCCCCGGCATTAATAAAACCACCATTCTGTACGAAAGACATCTTAAGAATTCTTTCTTGGCCATCAGCTCCAGATCTCACCCCACCAAACCTCCCCTATACATATTCAAAAACTACATCAGTTCTACCTGCTAGACTGATCACATTAACCGAGCCACTTGAAGACACTAAGGCATGCCACCTTACGATTATCCATTTTGAAAGAGTCAGAACTCCTTGGGAACTGGAGCTTCTGGGCCTGCTGGAGGTCTCCTGAGACTTAAAAAGGGACAAAAGAGAGGAGCAGGCAGCCGTGTATGGCCAGGAGGGCTACTCCTAGAAGCCAGATCTTGGCCTCCTCCCATCCTGGAAACACCCTCCCTTTACAGCTGGGATAAGAAAGGAACAAGAGCAGCAGGCTAACTGGAGTCATGTTCAGACACAGAGCCACAATGAACTGTGTCCCCTATACCAAGCATCTGAGGGCAACACCTTCCCTTAGGTGTGGTTGGGCTATCTGTGGTTTGCCTAAGTGAAGGAGGTAGAAGATAACAAAGAGGTGAAAAAGGAAAACAAATTACAGTTCTTTGCCTGTCCCTCAGTGACCATTTACTGCACTGAATTAGGCAGATCAAGGCCAAAAGAGGCATTTTTCTGCCACCAAGAGCAATGGGATAAGTTGGAGGCCTGAACAAGGTCACAGAAACTTAAAGGATGGGCCAGTCCCATTGGATGACTCAGACTGGTGAGAGCAGCCAGGTCCAACCAGGAGAGGAGATTGCCTGGGGGCGTCTTGCAGGGCAGGCTGTAGGAATGTGCTGGAAGGAAACTGGCGGGAAAGCTAAATGCAGATACATTCTCAGAACTCTGAGCACAATACCCCTGGAAAGCTGGCTTCTGCAGACTGCATGAAGTAGAACAAGCAAAGACTTAGACAGGAAGAAGCCTAAGCTGGCATTTCCAGCTCTATGACCCTGGGGAATTTCACCTACCCACCCTCAACTCCACTGGTCGTCTCTCTCATAGCAATGTTGTGAGGACCAACTTCTTTTTATTTTATTTATTGAGTGGGCATGTGTGTAGAGTGGGTGACAAGATCTTAAGCAGGCTCATACCCACTATGGAGCCCAACATGTCACTCAATCCCACGACCCTGAGATCACGACCTGAACTGAAATCAAGAGTCGACATTTAACTAACTGAGCGACCCAGGCACTCCAAGGACCAAACTTTGAGTCTGAAAGACTCTAACTCACTATATAAACGGGGGTTAGCACCTATCCTGAAAAGGTGCACACAGCAGGCCCAAGGCTGCTACCTCTGAAGGGCCTGCTTGTAAGGTGGGCCCTCAGGTAACATCTGGGAACTTGACAATCAGAGCGTTCCCAGTCAACAGTGAACTGTGGTCCATTGTGACTAGACTATTTGTGCAAATAATATGGTAAGGTGAATATGTGCTTTCTTTCTAAGATTCTGGAATTTGGTATGTGTTAAGGAGAGGGTGCCCATGTGACCAGCCCCAATAAAAATCTCAGGTGCCAACTCTCTAATGGGCTTTCTTGGACAGAATCATCACACGCATGTTGCTGCATTTCCGTTGCTATAATAAATCTCAGCCATGAGTACAACTATATGCTGAGTCCTGTGGGTCCCTCTAGCAAATCTCCAAATATGGGGGTCTTGGGGACTCCCATACAGAATCAGTATTATATAGCTGCACCTAGCATGAGCTAATAGAGATCCTTACCCACCTTAAGAAAGCCTGCTGTCACCACCTAGTTAGAAGCAAAGTTATAGACAGAAGATGGGACTGGGCCAGCAACCCAGGAAAGAGCCCTGAGCCTGAAAAAGGGGAGGCAAGGGCTGGGGGTGCTTCCTTTAAACCCGCTGGGAGCCAGTTATTGTGGTGGTGCTCACTCTGTCTTCCTCATTTCCTTTCTTCATCATTGCAACAGTATCATTATCCTATTTTTTAGATAAAGAAATTCAGGCACAGAGAGACTAAGTAACTAGCCTGAGGTCACATAGCTGGCCAGAGAAGACTGGCTGGCTGCAGAAAGTGCAGAGTCCTGGCTCTTCCCAGCACCCACACTGCCTGCCTCACTGCCACTCCCTCCATCTGTTGGGTGGTTTGGCTGGCCCTTATCCTTTCTTTGCCAAGCAAGTCATGAAAAGTTTTCTGCAAAACTAGAGCAGGAAGAGAAACATGGCATTTAGACCAAATGACCCTTATTATCTACATTTTATATTTTTTGAAGCACCACAAAAACCACCATTTTGCTACTCTCAGGACCACCATGTGCTGGGATGCCCGGCAATGCCCTCCTCTCTGACAAGGACAATGAGGCCCAGCATAGGCTAGGTGACTACACAAGGGCAGGACTTGAGCCAAGGCTTTCTTCCACATATCCCAGTGCCCAACACCTAGAAGGAATGCAGGAAATACCTACTGGCTGCAGGAATGATGACTGAATACAAAATAAAAATGGGCTCAACAGGAAACCAGAGGTCCAGTCTCTCAATCTTCTTTCAAATTGTTTTTCTTTAGGAGCACCTAGGTGGCTCAGCTGGTTATACATCTGACTCTTGATTTCGGCTCAGGTCATGATCTCAGAGCTGCAGGAGGTGAAATCAAGCAGACTCCCCGCAGAACTCAGGCTCTGTAACAAGCTCCACATTCAGTGGGGCATCTGCTTGAGCATTCTCTCTCTCCCTCCCCACCCCTGGCTCATGTTTGTGCTCTCTCCCTCTCTCAAATAACAAAAAAATCTTTTTAAAAAATAAAATAAATCATTTTTCTTTAAAAGCATATGCATAGGGGCACCTGGGTGGCTCAGTTAAGCGTCCAACTCTTATTAAAAATAATGTATGTAAAACATTCATCACATTGCCTGCTATGTGGTAGGCAATTAATTAATGGTGACTATCATAATGTGTTTCAGAAATAAATAGTTGCAAATGGAAAAAAAAAAGTGTCCAACTCTTGGTCTCAGCTCAGGTCTTTTTTTTTTTTTTTTAATTTTTATTTATTTAGGATAGGCACACAGTGAGAGAGAGAGAGAGGCAGAGACACAGGCAGAGGGAGAAGCAGGCTCCATGCACTGGGAGCCCGATGTGGGATTCGATCCCGGGTCTCCAGGATCACGCCCTGGGCCAAAGGCAGGCAGGCGCCAAACCACTGCGCCACCCAGGGATCCCATCAGCTCAGGTCTTGATCTCAGGGTCATGAGTTCAAACCTCATGTTGAGCTCCACACCCAGTGTGGAGCCTACTTAAAAAACAAACATACATATATACATAGTACTGACCAGTCAACAAAGAACTCCAAGTAGCCTTCATTTGGTTTCTCCAGCTTTGGCGTCCCCATTTCTGCTTTCACTCCCACCAAGATGTCTGTGTGACCCTGCAGAGACACGCAAGAAGGGTCCTCACTCAGGGCAAGTAGCCAGATACCCAACCACCTCCCTTCTCTCACAGACTATGCCCCCGGGGGACCATTTTAGGAGCAGCGCAAAGGAACTTGGGAAGTGGCCCTTTGAAAAGGTAAAGGGTCCTTCAGACCTAGACAGACACCCTCCCAGAGTTTGGCTTGGGTCTTGGGTTCCCTAGAAAAATATGCCTCCCAAAGCCCAGAGGAGCCTGCAGCTGGCTCTCTAGGGCCTGCCGATCCTCCCCATGGGCATGAACTATAGCCACAGTACTTACTAGTTTGACCCTGGCTGACCCACTGGTGTTAGACACCACATCAGTTTCTACTTCAACACATCGGTAGTCCTCACAGCCACGGCCATCCACACGGAGGTCTTCCTAAAGTGCAAGAACCACAACTGTAATACAACCACAACCAAACCACCAACAGATTACTAAACTCATTCATGCCATTTCTCCCAGGAGAACTAGGCATTATAGCATCCCGTTCTCAGTGAATCATGCAAAATTCTATCCTTGTAGCTAGGAACAACATTACTATTTTACACAGGAGGAAATGAAGACTCAGAAATGTAAAGCAGTGTATCTGAGGTCCCACAGCTGGTGAGACCAAAGGTGGGCTTCCACCCAGGCATGGCAAAGTGCAAAGTCCATACTACATCCCCCCTATACCGAAAAGGCACACAAAACAGACAAAATCTGAACAAGAGACAAAATAAGCTGCCTCTTTCCAAATCTGCCATTCCAAAATTGCACCAGGAAGTATGTATTGTCAGAGTTACGGGTACAACTGTCTCAGCTGTAGCCCTCCTGCCCCCCAAACTCAACAAAATCCACTCTGCGGACAAAAATAACTAGCCATTATCTTCTAAGCCAGGCATTCTCTAGAATAGGGACAGCACACTTAGGCCCGAGGGCCACCTGCTTCTCTGAAATGTTTTCCTGGAACACAGCCACGCCTGTTCCTTGAGGCAATCTAGCTGCTTTCACACTCAACGGCAGAGTTGAATGATTGTGACGCAGATCTTATAACCTGAAAGCCCCAAATCTTATCTAGCCCTTCACGGAAAAGTTTGTCACTCCTGCTGCAGAAGATAGATTTCAGAGTGGTCTACGATGCTGCGTATCCCTTGTCCCCTTTTATTTACTTCTTCCATTAGTTACTTATACCAATATAACTCACAGATCTCTGTTTTATGCTATAGTTATAATCCAATACTGTCATTATTTATCCTGCTGCTCAAAGTGTTCCAGATCTGGCCACTGGGAGTTCCTTTGGGTTGGTTCCTACATTCTTTTGACATGCCCGCAACCTTTTTTGAGAACATCTTTACTTCTGACAAGATGTTCCAGCCTCTTGAATTTTTCCCTGCCCCAGCCCTGGGATTAGCCCTTCTTCTGAGGAGTCATGATTCCTTTCATTGAAGAACAGTGCTTTAAAATCCAGGATCTGATTGCTAAGTAAGTTCATTGCCACTGGGATATCATTGCTTCCAGAACTTCTCTGCAAAGGGAACTAGGTAACACTGATGTACGCTAACCCACACAGCTGTACTTCTTTCTATGTCCATCCACGTAACAATTATATCTACGCACCTATTATATCCCCATAACTATTACAAGGCCATGTGTTCACACTGTTAAGTTGGTTCTAACCTTCCTCCTCCTATTTGTAACTTCTTTCTCAGAAAGGGAGAAACCTGGCTCTCATTATCCACAATGTATTTATGTATTTGTGAAATCTTGAGAAACAAATTTACTAATGGAGGACAGTACTTGGGTCCAGTTCTTTTGTCTTTAGCCTTACAGTCCCATCTGGAACCCTGTTTCCTGGTGTCTTCCCCAATCTTCAGTTTGGCTCTTCTATTCCTCTGCACCCCTGTGAGGTTCTAGTGCTGTCAGTGCTCCAGTGTGGCTACTTTTAATCATTTATTTACTTTTTGGGTATGTGGACTTATCGCCATGACTCTTGGTCAAAGTTATCAGAAAAGGTGTGCTCAGGGAAAGGCCACTCTTCCCACAGCCCTATTTACATGCCCTCTTTCTTTCTAGCTCTTTCCCAGCCACCCCAGGCAGTCTGTTTAATTGCTGGTTCATCGTTCCCGTACTTCCTTTGCATAACTGAGCAGATATGTGAATATTTTTTATACCCACTTCTTTCTTACATGAAGAGAAGCATACTAGAGATACTGTTTTATACTTTGCTACTACTTCTGCCTTTTTTTTTTTTTTAACACTTAAGAATACATATGCAGGAAATCACTACACATCAGCTCATGGAGATCTTCCTCATTCTTTGTAAACATTTTTTCAAAGCATTTTTTTCTTTCAGAAAAAGACTCAGCTTCATCAGATTCTCAAAGGGGTTAATGCTCCTCAAAATGTTTAAAAACACAGTTCTAAGCTATGTGTCACAAATGTATCTTTAAACTGCCTGGCTCACTGCATATATGACTGACTTTTGATTTTGAGATACTGAAATCCAGCAAAGCACATCATTTGCCCAGCTCCAACCTTCTCCTCTGTTCCTACTCTTCCCCATCCCAACTCCTGTTAATGCAGAGAAAATAAACATTACAAATCAGCTTGAAGTCTCTTTTCCGCTCATCCAATCCCCAGGCCATCCCCTCCCTGAAGGCAGTCCCCATCTTGAGTCTGGGGAGATCTGTACTTGAAAAGCAACAGAATTTCAAGTCTAGGAAATGAACTCCAAGGGCGAACTCCATAAAGTGATCTCTCTTCACTGGAGGATCCCCAAACTATGTAACTATCTCTTTAACAACTCACCCATAGAATAGGAAAGGCTTCTTCCTAGGTCAATCTCTGATGCCCCATCCCCCAGTAGTGCCCTGTGAGGAATGTGAAAACAGGGCCCAGAAATAGCATTTACAAAGACCTCCTGCCTGAGTCGCAGGTCAGGTGTATGTGTGAGCAATCACTAGGAGTATTAGTCATGGGCTCCAGGCCTGGTCCTGCCATACCTAGCTGCTTGACCGAGGACAAAATGCTCAGACTAGTTTCCTCCTTTGTTGAAAGATGGACGTTGAATTAGAAGGCCTTAAAGGTACTTTTCTAATTCTACAGATCTATAAGTTACAACAGCCACAATTATTTGCAAAAACAAATAGCAGCTACTGTCTAACCTGCAATTACTTTACTTGGGATAATGTGCTAGGAATGCTACACAGTTGACACATTTACTCTCAAAATAACCCTGTAAGATAGCTTTTTGTTGTTGTTGTTGTTCCTCTTTACAAATGAGGAAAGAGGTTGAAAGACTCTAAATGTCTGGGCTCAGGTCACATAGCCAGTAAGGAGCACTTTAATTCCAAGCCAGAATTCCACATGGTTCCCTGCATTCTCACTGTGCAACAGGAGACAGTGCAGGCCTCCCTCAAAGGGTGAACGGCTGGCTCCACCAGTTGGTCCTAATGATGGAGAAAACAATTCTGAATGCAAGGAGGCCATGAGGTAACAGGGCTTCCGACCACAGCTTTAAAATACCACTTATCTGGAAAGATCTAGTCACAACCCTTTGTAGTGATAACCCCCTTGTTCCAAGAGGGGGCTGGGAGGGGTAAAAAAAAAAAAAAAAAAAAAACAGGCCATTAAAATCACTCTCTGCTCCCTGGCAAAGGCTCACTGGGAAAGCCTCAGGTGACAAGTAAGAGAGAAAAATCTACAAATTTCCCTTTCCAAGGATGCAGAGTATGTATTTTTTTTTTCATAGAAAAAAAGCACCCAAGAGAATGGGAGGAAAACCAAAACCAAAATCAAAACAAAACAAAAAACACAACAAATTAGTCCATGAATCACTGCACTCAGAATTTTTTTTTTTCAATCCAGCTTTCCTCATAAAAGGCTTAAAAATTACCCAAACCTGCTTGGTCTGGCTCAGAGCCAGACATCCTACCAAAATGTTTATTTACCAGTAGTACTCAGAAGCAAAGGAATGAATCCATGTGTGAACATTTAAACAGGGGCTGCCCTGCAGTGAAAGCTCCATCCAAAAAATCAAGAGATGTCAACAAGTGATGGACAACACCATGCATTGCGAATGCAATCTTTTTTTTTTTTTTTAAGATTTATTTATTTAAGAGAGAGAGAGCATGCTTGTGAGAGGGGCAGAGGAAGAGAGAGAGAATCCCAAGCAGACTCCCCCCTGAGCATGGAGCCTGATGTGGGGCTCCATCTCACAACCCCAAGATCACAACCTGAGCCAAAACCAAGATTTGGACGCTCAACCGACTGAGCCACCCAGGTGCCCCCATCCTCTACATAAATCTCTCCTGTCACATACCAGCTTTGTGCCCTTGTGCAAGTTAGTTTCTCAACAGCTTGGAGTCCATCTCTTTGTCTAGAAAGCAGGAATCACTCCACCTCATAGAAATATAGAAGAATCCAAAAGCCAGGAATCATTTAGGGGACCCTCAGCACAGTGCAGCACACAGAAGTACCCCCTGCACAGTTTCTTTCTGCTTCTGGGGCTAGGATCAGCTCACTGAATCCTCGAAAACAACCCTACAGAGAGCTTATCAATGAGGTAGGTCACTGAGGTGCCTGTGGCAGAGTGGAAGTAACCCAGTCCTATCACTCATTAAAGGAAGCTAACAAGTTGGCTCTATTAACATAACACACTTGGGAGAATTTAGACCCTGGCCTTGGCAGTGATGCTAACCCTCCATTACCTCTCTCTGATGTGTCCAACACCTCACACCTGCTACAGAACGTAGACTAGGATGCTTCACCTACTAGAATGCAACTCCAGTTAGGAGAAGGACCACATCAAATAAAGTTCTACAGACCCTGGCCCAAGTCACAGAAGGGAAAACCAGATGTCAATCCTCATTCATCTTCCAAGTGTCTGCATTTCCTTTCAAGGATGTGATTCTGTTCACCTTGCAAACTGCTGGGGTGCAGGCTATTTGTGCCATGGGCTTGCAAATGGAAAGGGCACAGGGCTCAAAATCAAGAGTCCTGGGGGCTCACTCCAGCTCTGCATGGCCAGGTTGAACGGCTGAGTATAGACTACTTGGTTTTATAGCTACAACTCCAATCTCAGCCCCATTCCCGCTCTTTTGCACTGTTCTGCTAACAGAGCTTACGATGAAAGCTAGAGCCACAGAAAAGAAACCGAAACTGTGAGCTCAGCTACCCTCCCTTCAATTGCCAGGAAAAATTCCATAAAATGGCTTTGATAAGGCCTCAAGGGGGAAGCCTCTTGGTGGGGCTAATCCACTGCCAGGGTCTGAGCTGAACTTATGAAGGCCAGTTTAATATCCAGGTCATGGCCACAGCACCATTAAGCAGACCTCTGGAAAGCCTAGTGCGCGTCCAGCTCCACTGAAGCCACATGACTCAGTCACTGCCTACCTCCAACAGCCAGAGCCAGTGGTAGGTACACAAGCCCAAGCATACAATCCAGAGAGCAACCAGCTTCTCTGGCATGAAACTGCCTTTCTCCTTGGAATCTGATCTCTGACCTGGAAAATACTAGAGAAGGAAGTGAAAGAAGAACTGACCGGTCAGGTTGGAGGGAGGCTGGAGAGGCCACATAGAAGAAAGGTATGGGGGTTGGTGGGGGGCAAGCAGTGGAGACAGATTTACCAAGATGAAGGGAAGTTGGGTGGCAAACGCTGCAAAGAGATATACTTCAGGAGAAGTGGATGTGTCACCATAGACAGAAAGACAAGCAGTCACACAAACCACGTGATTCACTGCGGAGCCCATGAGATGCAATACCCTGGAGCAGCCTTGGGACTTTCTAGCCCTTGCCACAAATCCCCTTTTTCTTGAGATAATTTAATAATCTCTGGTCCTCAACAGCCACAGGCTGTTGGCGGTCACTTGTGAAGGCTGGGAATATAATATGCATGGTTCAGCACAAAGCCATACTTCTGATGGAAAAAACAAACTTGACAAGGAGACAACATCTCTTTAGGGTTGATCACATGCCAAGTGCTCTATATTTCCTCATTATGTCATTCCTCACGAGCCCATTCTGCCCCCCAGATGGATACAGTCTCATTTTACCAGAGAGAGCTAGATGGGAAACTCAGGTAAAATCCCTCACAGTGAATGGTGTAGCTGGGAAAGGAGCTCAGTCTGGTTCACAGTGGGAGACCATAGGACCCCAAGTAGGCAGAAGCAGAGACTCCAAAGCAGACTCTCAGCTGGGCCAGGCCAGTGGTCTGCCCGTAAGCCAGCGTCTGCTGGTGGCATCAAAATCTCCCAACACTGGGCAGTCCCAGTGGCCCAGCGGTTTAGCGCCGCCTTCAGCCCAGGGTGTGATCCTGGGGGCCCAGGATCGAGTCGCACATTGAGCTCCCTGCATGGAGCCTGCTTCTCCTTCTGCCTGTGTTTCTGCCACTCTCTGTGTATGTCTCTCATGAATAAATAAATAAAATCTTAAAAAAAAAAAAAATCTCCCAACACTTTATGAAAATGTCCATTCCCAGGCTCCAATCCCTGGGTTAACAATACAGTATATACCATGCACTATTTAAAGTCTCGAAAATGAAAAATAAAAAATAAAAAAATAAAGTCTCGAAAATGGTTTGGGGAGGAAGGGGGGCAGTGGTGGTGATGGTGGTGGTATCCAGAATTTCCCTTCCTCTTTCCTATTTGCTCATAGGCTTCCAGATGGAAAGAGAAAGAAAGAGAAGTAGAAAAGGGGATTCTCTTTGGCCTTTGCTTTGGGATCTCTATTTAAGGACCATAAGACAATGGCTTTCACTGCAGTAGGAAAGCAGCATGAAAGTCGAGGACGGGCTCTGCAATCAGACAGATTTGGATTTCTGTCCCCGCTCCATTACGCACTCTCTGTGTGACCTTGGACAAGTGACTTACCCTGTCTGAGCTCAGTTCTTTGTCTGCAATGTAGAGATAATAATGTTTACCTTCAAGCCAGTTTCAAAGATTCAATGACATAAAAATTATAATATAATATATACCTAACAAGAGTGGGACATCTCAGCCTTCTAAGGGTGACAGGGAAACCAATCCAATCATATACTAAGAATTCTGATTGATCAACCTTTCCATTTATCCTGTCCCACTCCCTCAGATCCATTCTCTTTTTTTTTCTTTTAAAGATTTTATTTAAAACAAAATAAAGATTTTATTTATTTATTCATGAGAGACACACAGAGAGAAAGAGAGAGAGGCAGAGACACAGGCAGAGGGAGAAGCAAGCTCCATGCAGGGAACCTGACGTGGGACTTGATCCCGGGACTCCAGGATCATGCCCTGGGCTGAAGGTGGCCCTAAACCTCTGAGCCACCCGGGCTGCCTCAGAGGCTGAAGGCGGCCCTAAACCTCTGAGCCACCCGGGCTGCCTCAGATCCATTCTCTATCCTTCTCTGGCTTCATCGGTGAGTCAGGTTAACTCCTTCCAAAATGCATCGCCTGGGCTCCCTTTACTGGCTTGTGGTTGGGTTTGGCCAATGAGAAAGGTCCAAAAGGAGATGAGACACTGCTCCCCCGTTACCCAGCCCTACCATTCCTAACTGGGGTCACATTTCTGACACTGCTTTCATCTGCCCAAGCCTACAATTTCTGTTGAGCAGCTCTTTCTCCACAGTTCTAGCTATCATTGGCATCTGGTAATACCGCTGCCTCCTTTGGCCCCTTCAGCCTAGGGCTAACTACTCCCCATGGTTGCCAGTCTTTGGGCTTCTCAGTATCTCCTGTTGGTTCCCTGACACTCACCCATACCACTCTAAAAAGTTGCATGATAAAAGTCTTTTGAATTATCTGAATGGGATCCCATAGTCTGCCAGGACTTGATATGATTCACCCTTCTTGTTCATAAATGCCTTTCTTTCAAGTGTGTCCCATCCTCCCAGGGGCCATTTTTGAGCCTAATGATTCTGTCCATCCTTTCACCTGACTCAAGTTGAAGCAAAGAGATTTTTCTCCCTGGAAACATGCTGTTTGAACTAGAAGGGATGGCTTCTTTTACAGAACTGTAATCCCAGGAGCTGAGAGGTAACTACATTGTTCCTACCACATGGCCTGAGAAACAGAAGGTGAGAAGAGAGGCAAAAACAAGCAAAGGTGTGTGACGTCTGGGTGGCTCAGTGGTTGAGCGTCTGCCTTTGGCTCAGGTCCTGGTCCTGGGGTCCGCGGATTGAGTCCTGCATCAGGCTCCCCACAGGGAGCCTACTTTTCCATCTGCCTATGTCTGTGCCTCTCTCTGTGTGTCTCTCATGAGTAAACAAATAAAATCTTAAAAAAAAAAAAAAGGAATAAGCAAAGGTGTAAAAAGCAGCAGCAATGAGCAAGGGAAAGCCTGAAGATGATCCTGAACTCCTAGAGTAACACTTGTAACCTTCTAACACATACTTTTTTTGCTTGAGCCAGTTTGTTGGTTTCCATTACCAGCAACTGAGTCCTCAACACATATTATGAGGTTAATATCAACTGCTTCTACCTACCACCAAACCAAGCTGAAATACCCCTGAAATAATAAAGAAACCAAAGGCTGAAAGGGAAGGGATGACAGAAGCTAAAACTGACCAGACTGGACAAAAGGTGAAAAGTAAAACAAACCAAAAAAAACACAAGTAGGTCTATACATACAGGCAAGAACAGGATGCCCTAAACCTATGGGTAGGTACTACATAAGGTGACATGCCGGCACTCGAAGACCAACAACAAAGGTTGAAGTGATTTTAGAACGGAGTTAGTGGAGATCCCATGGGAAGCTCAATCACCTGCATTCTGACCTTCATTCAGAGAGTGTAAATCCTATTTCCCTCCTCCATAAATAGAGCAAATTTGTGGTCAACATTAATAGTCCTTACGAAGAGATTTATTTCAAGTCAGTTACTCTGCATGGCTCCATGATACACAGAGCAGAGCATTTACCAACACTGTGGCCCTAATATGTTCATGGTACTGGTAAAACAGAGGTTTAGCTTTAAAAATGAAAAGTGTCCAAGTCACCTCCCTTTTAAGACCTACCTTAATCAATGTCATTGAGTACCTACTAAGTGCTGGACACTGGCTAGGTTTTAAAGGTACCAAATAACAATTACCTCCCAAGATCCATGATGAAGGATCTTCATCCTGATGGCTTCCACCTCTGCAACCTGATCTCCCACCACTACCCCCAGCCCACCCCTGTGGCTCCACACTTCCTCCACCTGAGAGCCTGTGGATTCAGCATCTCTGCCTCCAGGAAGGCTCAAGCCTACCTAGTTCTTAAGTACGCTGAGAGCTCATCTCAAATGCTACTTCCCTAGGGAAGTCTCCCCTGACTTACTGGACTAGATCAGGTCCCTGATTTTTCTCCTTCACAGCTATCAGTACAATTTTACATACAAACACATATACAGATCTGTAATTTCTGTCTCTTCCTTCTAGCATGGGAGCTCCATATAAGTAGGCAGGCTCCTTCCTATCTGTGAGTCCAGCTTAATTCTAGGTTGAATGAATGAACACAGAGTCCTGAAAACATACAGGAGGGAGACGTGACATGGATTAAAGGGAGCAATTCCACCTCTTAGGGAAGCCTTCAGAGCATCACAGGCCCCAATATTGTAGAACTCCTTTGACTTCTACTAACTCTACCACTCCCTTTGCATATATGTTACTTTGCCTTTTCTAGTACTTATTCATCTTTGAAATAATAAAAGAATAAACGGCTGATGGAAAGGGAAGCTGAATTTGACCATACTGGACCAAAAGCGAAAGAAAAGAGGGGCACCTGGGTGGCTCAGTGGGTTGAGCGTCTGCCTTTGGCTCAGGGTGTGATTCTGGGGTCCTGGGATCGAGTCCCGCATCCGGCTCCCTGCGAGGAGCCTGCTTCTCCCTCTGCCTGTGTCTCTGCCTCTCACGAACAAACAAATAACATCTTCTTAAAAAATAAAAATAAATAAAAGCGAAAGAAAGACACAAAATGATTAGGTTTCTAAGGGCAAGAACAGAATGCCGGTTAGACTTCACCAAGAGGTCTGGGACGGTCTCTAACCTGGGTAGAGTACAGACAAGGACACACACACGGCTTCCCTTGGGAGTTCATTACGACCCGACATCCTCCAAGTCTTGCTCCGGTGTGGTCAAGTCTAGGGGCTGAAGACCACGGGAGATCTGAACAGTTACAGCTGCCTCTGAATCTTTACTTCTGCACCGTAGAACTAAGTGCCACCGGTATAGGGCCGCTTTCTACGGATCTTTTCCCTTTATTTGTAAGGAAATGTGCATTTTCAAAGCGCCCTCACATCAGTGTCCTCTCTCCCTGCGGTTCCCAACCACGAGGTAGGGAACAGCGGGCCACCAGCCCACCGCCAACCCCCGTTCCCCAGCACGGAAAAGCGAGGCTCAGCCCAGCGAGGCGACGCGCGAAGGCTGAAGAGGCGGCCCCAGGGGCCGGGCTCCCTCGCTAACACAGGCCCCGGGGCGCGCCGCCCCACCCAGGTTCGGAACCCTGTAGCCGCGGGTCGCTGCAGGCGCGCACAGTCGAGGGCTGCCCCGCGCCGTGGGGTCCTATTCACGCCCGCGTCGCCGGCTTCGGGCTGCGAACGCCGGCCGCCGTGCTGTGCGGCCACACGGGAAACGCCGCCCGGCCGCCTCCTTCCGAGCGGGCCTAGGGCGCGGCGCCACCCGCGGCGCCACCCGCAGCGCCACCCGCAGCGCCTGGGGGACGCGGTGGTCGGCGCCGTGGCGTAGCTACCTGGACGCCGTGCACGATGTACACCTTCTCCGCCTCGCTCAGCGCTACCGACGCCATGCTGCCGAGCCGCCCCGCTCGCCACACGTCATCGGCCCGCGTCGCCCCCGCGCCGACCACGCCCCCCCCCCGCCCCGCGCGCCCGTGTGTCATCAGCCTGCGCCACGGCCGCTCCTGCAGCCGCCGCTGCTGCTGCCGCCACCGCCGGCAGCTCGATGGGCTTCTCCTGCGCGCCGCCCCGTGTCTGGACGAGTCCAGGAAGCCGCGGCGCCTCGTGCCGGGGAGCCATCGCTGCAGCCCGAGGCCGGGTCCCGGGTCGGGGGCTGCAGGGGGAGGCGACGGCGGCGGCGGCTGGAGCCCCACCGGGGGCCCGGGACTGGGGAACTGCCTCCGGCTTCACGGTCAGTTGAGAGAGGGAGGACCGGGGTTGAGTGAAAAGGCTGGGGTGAGGCCAGAGGCGCGGGCCGGGGCCGGAGCTTAGGACTTGCAGCGGGAGAGGCGCGCGTCGCAGTTTGCTCAGAGCTGGAGTTGAAGTAGCAGAGTGTGTGTGTGCGTGTGCGTGTGCGCGCGCGAAAGAAAGAGACAGAGACAGAGAGAGACCTGAAAGAGAGACCGACCCCGAGCGAGGGGAGGCGGACGTCGTGATTGGCCTGAGGGGCTGTCTCCTTGCTCTCCCCCCCGCCCTCCGTCTTGCATTTCCCTAGTCCCCAGGGTGATTGAAAAGAAGAGGTGATGAAGCCCTCTTTACTTCGTTCTCGGTAGGAAGGGTCCGGGCTGGCAGTGAGTGCCCACTAGCCCCGAAGCGTCCTCACTCCCCTCCAAGGATTCCACCCCTGCCGCCTCTCCCCGGGGCTGACCAGACGCTGACCCCAAACCTTGCAGGATCCCCTTGCCCCAGGTGGTCGCTGGAGCATTGATTGTCTCAAAGAGAGGACGGGGGTTCGAGTCTTGGCAACTGGCACCGGTGAGGGGCACAGTACCCAGGCATCGCCAGCGCTTCCCGGTGATGGCTGGAAGCTTCCGCTTGAGAGTGTGGTCGCTGGGAGCTGTAGACAGCTGCCCCGAAAAGAAGGAAGCCAGTCCTGGCGGTGGCCAAGTGGGAGTATGGGCCTTGGGTATCCAGAAGGGATACCTGCAAGGTGAATATAGGGTCACTGAAGGAGCCCATTAAGGTGAGGCAAGGTAGGGTATGGTACGGATTTTAAAGAGGCCATGTGATAAATGAGGGAAGGTTAACCCTGAGTGATTGAGGCAAGGGGATCTGATGACTCTTCCAAATGTCCCTCTTTTTAAGGAGCCTCCCTGTTCTTAAAAGTGAAAATGCAGTAACCCTTGAGAGCTCGATCCTCTAAAGAATGTATTTCCCAGCTTGTAGCTTCAATACCGTTTCGCAGGTAACTATTGAGAGCTTACTGTGGATGGCTTTGCGCCAGCTTTGAAATGCTAGAACAAATAAAACACAACTTCTGCCCAGAGAAGCTCTCCAGGCAGAGGGTAAGGCTCTAGGGTCAACATAACCGCAGAACACGGTTAAGAACTACAATGATGGCACCCACGAGCACAGTGGAATGGGGAAGGTGGATCAGAGGGGGGTACAGGAGAGAAGTACCTGCCTATATTCTTAAGCTGTGAACTGCTGAGTTCCAAAATAAATGATCGCTTCTTAGTAGACTGGACATCAGTTGTTTTGTGTATCTCTACATAGTTCTCTTATAGGTCACCTGACAGCCTACAGGGTTAGACTTTGCCCTCCAGGGAAACTGAGAGATGAAGCCAGAAGGGTTTCCTTCTGAATAACAGCACAGGTGCCCCACCTGTTGTGGCACATAGGCATCTTTGTGTGGTTGGGCACCTGGTTTCTGTGTGAGGAGCTTTATGATGAGACAACAAGGGACTGCTGATGTTAGAAACGATATTTTGTTCTAGAGATTGCCCAGAAAGTGGAGACCCTGAACATGGAATTTTAGCGGCTAGGATATGTAAGAGGATTGAGGATTTAAAAAGTGGCAGCAAATGGACAGATCAGAAAAGACAGAAGAGTCTGAGTTGGATACCACAGAATCATCTTTCATGAAAATCTTTCAATGTGTCTTCAAAATATGGAACGAAAATTTGAACCATTCCCCTGACAATTGACTATTGATCAATTGACTAAAGGTTCCTTGCTGGAGAAAAGTTGGTATATTTGTTAAATAATACTGTGAAATACTATTGTGAATGATGTCTGATATGTTAGGCAAAGTGGGTCTGAGAGGTGTAAACAGCAGAATGTTTATTTTAGATTCTCTACTAAAACAATGACACCTTAACCATTATATTTCAAAACTGGTGGAATATTTTTTATCATGTTTTTGTGGTAATGCATTAGACATTTTTAAAACTCATAAATTCAGAGTTCTTTTTTGGTTTATTGAAGCAAGTCAAAGAATGCATGTTAGCCAGAAAAATCAAAAAGCCAAGGACAACACCTTAGTCTATAAAACCAGCATATTTTTCCATCACTGTGAGGGTCTTCATGGGGTGGGGAAGCATATTGTTTTGTAGGTACATCCATTCTGAATCTCTGTACTTTATTAATTTTATTTAACACTGACTGACATGTGCTCATTACAGGCCAAGCTCTGTTCTAAAGCACTTTCCAAAGCTTAATTGATTTAGTCCTCACAAGAGCCCATGAGGCAAGTACTGTTATTCGTATTTTACAGATTGGGAAACTGAGGTGGAGAGGTTGATTGTCAAGGTCACAGGTCACAGACTAGAAAGAAAGTGCCAGAGCTGGGATTTAAGACCAGGCAATCTAGCTCCCATACTTGCACTCCTAAAGTCCCTTTGTGCAGACTCCTCACCAGACTCCACTTCATTTGCCAGAGTATTTGGTGAAGGAAGTCTTTGTTATGGAATTGGTAGCTGCCCTGTAAGCTGTAGTTCGTTTTTTATTCCCAAAGCAGGGAGTCTATTCAAGCATAAATTCACATCTCTTGAATCCTTACTCTAAAGGAGTGTTGAACGTGGTGCTGAGGGGATGCTCCTATGTCTGTTTCAGCCAACCCTTTTAGATAAGGGAAAAGATTACATGTAGGCCAAATAGAACCTGACTCAGAGTAGCTAAGAAGAGCCCTCAGCAACAGAGAAGGCCAATGGATCTGGAACGGATGGTGGACCTAGGCACAGAGATCCAGATTCCAGCTATGTCTTACTCCCAGAATAGATATCTAGAAGCTCTTCAAACCGGAAGTATTTGTTTGAATGCCTGTGAGTGTCTCGTGTTCTTGTGGACCCAGAGATGGGAAGCTGAAAGCACACCTACCTAAAAGGAGTTGAGGATTTACTGTAGCTGGGGAGCCCAGGCACTCAAACTAGCGCATAAACAAGACAAGGAATAAAGTGCCCAATTGAGCCAGTGTGGTAATTAGACGGGAGGCCAACCTATAATAAGGTGCTAATTGTGCAGGCCAGGCATCAAGGGCGAGAGGTAAGGAGCTGCCGCCAGCCACTAGCAGGCAACAATGACATTACAGAGGTGGAGTAAACCGTGTGCCACCTAACCTTGGTTAATTAAAGCAATAAAAGCTGGTTAGAAAAGAGCTTGGGGCAATGCTGAGTCCGTGGTGCTGAAGTTGGCAGAGAGCTCTTAAAAGCCCAGCCAGGGAACATCTTTCCAGTCTCAGAGAGATAGCCAAGTGCTAGGCCTTTACCTTTGCATTTTCACAATTAGCCCAGCACGGCAGAAAAGCAGAAGCAAACGACTGTTTTCCCTACAGATCTGTTTCCTTTAAATATTTTGACTTGTCCTCCCTGTGCCTTGTTTGAAGAAAGACTCGGTATAAATAACCTGTCCAGTCAGGCCGGCAGGTCTGTGGCTGTCTTGCTTTTCTAGAAATTACAACTTGTAATTACAGTGGTAGAAAAATTGATAGAACTATGCGGGTTAAGCTTATTCGCATTTAGAGGAACGGTTTTCATGTGTGTTTCATTTTGAAAGGGTAGCAGGGTGCTCATGTCTCTTCACTAGGGCATGTGTGAACAAAGGGGGGTCACTGATTCTGATTGGCAAATCTGGAAATAGTTAAACACACATACACATGCTCACAGCCACAGAAATCCAAATAGAAATGGAAGAGCGAAGTCTGGATATTGACCTGCTGGGGGAGAAAAAAAGAAGCAGAGGCCATGCACCCTCGAGTTTCTTTCTGTTTTTGCATGTTTTTAATCCTTTGCTTTCCTCTTTGGAAGCAGATTTCCAGAGACAAATGACCAGGTTATTCCTGGCTCTTGACTGTAAAGGTAAGAAGGCTCCAGTTCCATGCCCCACCTAATTCAATTATCCATCCAAGAAATGCCAGAGAATACCAGGAAGACTCCCATCTTTTCATAATCTCCTCCAAATTGTAACCTTCCTGGTATGTAGAAATTTGGCAGTTGAACTCTGATTTTTCTAGGTTACCTGAGACATGAATTTCTCCTGGTCAGGGTCTGTGGGGACAGAATCCCTTTGGATGAGATAGATACCTCACCTTAGAAAAATAAGCCTAGGGGATCCCTGGGTGGCGCAGCGGTTTGGCGCCTGCCTTTGGCCCAGGGCGCGATCCTGGAGACCCGGGATTGAATCCCACATCGGGCTCCCGGTGCATGGAGCCTGCTTCTCCCTCTGCCTGTGTCTCTGCCTCTTCCTCTCTCTGTGTGTGACTATCATAAATAAATAAATAAAAATTTAAAAAAATTAAAAAAAAAAGAAAAATAAGCCTAGTGGGACAAATGCAATTCTAGCCACAGTTCTGTTGCAATAACTTTTGACTTTGCTACAAAGTGTACATTTCTAAACCAAGAAGTAGCAGCAGAAAATCTAGAAAGGCAAGATGATTAGGAAGATAATGATCTATTGGTGCAAAGACTACTAGGTGTCTATTCCAGCAATCTGGGCTTAGCCACAGATCATTTTTTGCAATTTTGAGCAAGTCAGTTAAACGTTCTGAGCCTCATTTTACCCAAAACATATATCTTACCAGATGGTAAAGCTCAGAACCGATGTGGATATACATATATTTAAACAATAAAAAATGGTCCTGCTTCACTTTAAAGATGTCTCTTTTTTACCACTTTGTAATATTTGATGCATCTTCATAGTGGTTTTTTTCACTCTGAAAAAAAAAATTAAGTGAATTAACAAAAGGAAATGGTAATTGATTGAAACACTGAGCATGCTCAGGAAAATGGCTAACATTATTGGAGGATTTCCTCCTGTATATGAACAAAGAACGGGGAAAGGAAGTTAAGGGACACTTTTGGTAAACATATAAAAAATCCAAGAAATTAACAAAGAAAATACTGAATTTGTTCATGAGAACAAAAGAAGCAGAATCTCAACCCTGCAAGGGATCTTAGCATTCAGCTCAGTCCTCCG